TGTTCAAAACACAAATCACGGTTTATCTCGTGATTTGGTAAATCCTAATTTGGTCCCTTTTCTCAGCACCTAGCCCAATTAATCGATTAGTTAATGATAATCGATTTTTAGTTGACTTTTTAAAATTTTTTAGCCAACTAATCGATTGCATTTTTTTGTTCGATTTGGATCACTACTCTTAACCTACCATACCTACGGAGTTCTAAATCGCTCGGAAATCACGGGACTGAGGATCGATTCTGCTACCACTTATCCATCTCAAGTAATACATTTTTTATTTTGTTCTTTTGCCGTAATTTTATCTCTTTCTGCAAATCTAGTAAAGTATCAAATTTTAACCAAATTGCAAGTGGATCATCAGGACCCCAAAATATATATGTAGGGGTAAGGTTTTAGTTTGCTTATTCTTGATCCTTTTTGTGTAGATTATTTCCATTTATAGTAATTAGTTTGCTTATTTTTAACTTTTTTCCACAGATTTTTCCAAATTTAGTAATTTTTGTAAAACCTTACCCCTCCATATATATTTCGGGGTCCTGATCATCTTCTGCTTTATTAAGGTCAAATACAATAAACTCACTCTTGCGAAGGTAGTTATTAATAACTATTGATGCACCTTTTACATCATCAGTATATCATCCTACAATTTTGGCACAGTCTTGAGAAGAACTATTACCATTGAATATTAATATATGAGAAAGATTCTCACAGATGATCATTGGGACATGATGGTATTTTTGCATAGTAAATATAGGTGAAATATTACGAGGATATTTATGTGTAAAAAATGGGATAATTCAATTTTGTATTGACTCAAGGGCAATACATAAATCTTCAAAGATAATAACAGTATTTCTTTCGGAAGAGAAAAATTTTATACTAGAAATTTTTTTAGATAAGATATAACTAAACGTAATATTTTCATAATATGATACTTTGGGATTACTTGCAATTAGTCCATACATATATCTAACAAATGCCCATTTTGGTTCATCTGGATGATAACCACAAACTATCAAATCATCACACTGTATATATCTAGATCCACTCCTTTTCTTTTTATAGATATGTTTAGCTTTGTCACCAAGAACAAGATTTTCAAGTATATTAGTCTTATCTGTACTACTTTTTCCTGTAACTAGCTTAGCGAATAGCCATGATATTGCTGGATATTCAATACAGCATGATAAAGCATGCTTTGTAGTCTCATTAATATTCATAAGAAAAAGTTTCATTGAAGGTAATTCTGTCTTTAAGTTTTTTTGCATGACAGATTGGGAATTCATAACTCTGTTTTCAATATACTGGATAAAAATTTTCTTCCTTTTTGGTTGGACAAAAAATATTCCTATATATATACCAAATAATTAATATCACTATTATTGCAATAATAATTTTAATAATAGAAGGAATCTGATACTTATTATTAACTAAAGCCTCACCAGTGCATACTGCTCTTTTTATTATAATATCTTGAATAAATAACTCCAAGTTCTGCTTATTTGTGATAATTGGTAATGTTTCATTTTTTACATTAGATATTTCATCTGTTGAAGACTCCTGGCTAGTTAGAAAAGTATCATTTATTTCTGCTTCTATTTGATTTTTACTTTTAAAATATTTTGCAAGCCTTTTAGATTCAGATATATCTTCAGAATTTGATATGAAACTTTGTTTCTTGCTTTGCATATTTTTTTCTACACCTTCCATAACTACAGGATCTAATATATCCTTTGTTTTCTGCAAAGCAAAAGGTATAAAGCACCTAAACACTTAATTTCATTAATTTTTGAAGCTAATTCATTCTTTGTATTCATTAATTTATTCTTTGTATTTGCTAATTCATTCTTTATATTTGTTAATTCAGACTTGAGAGATATGATCTCAGATTCTTTTTTTACTATCACTTTCTGAAATAAGAATGTATTCTTTTGAACTGATTCTAACTTACCTTCTAATATTTTTTTCATAGACCAAAGTACTATAATTTTCTTTAATTCTTTCTGAGTTGAAAATACTTTTGTTTCCAATATTTTTATCTTAGACTAGAAATTTTTTATCTTAATTTTAGATTCATTAAGAGAAATATTTTTGTGAATAATCTGGGATATTAGATTACCTAACTCTGAGTGCAATTATTTAACCTCATCTATAAGCTGGAAAGCATGCTTAAAAAGTTTCTCTTTATCTTTATTGAATTGTTTTAGATCACGTTGTATACGCTTATTGTCTTTATCCAAGACAGAACATTTATTGGCAAGTCGATTGCCACACTTTATAGCAATTTCTCGATCTTAATTTGCACAAACAAGCTGGTTTTCAAGTTCTGTTCAGCTGGGTGGATATCAATTAGATGATATACTCTCGAGTTTTCGACCTTTATCTATATTTGATAAAGTATGAATTTGAGACATATTATAGCAATAAAAAAATAAATCAAATAAGAATTTATTTTTTATAAATAAATCATGGCCCAAAACTCTGAAAAAATAGTTCGATATCTGCGATCTGAAGCAACTTCTTTATCAGATAATAATATACAAGATATCATTAATGCTAAAAATTTAATGAAATGTATATCAGAAGCTATAGCTAACAAATATAAAATATCAACAAAGTGTGTATAGCAAATATAGAGAAAAAACTATCTGCCAATAGATCCTAGAGAAGTGGTATCACAACTAATTAATATAGAATTGATATCATCAACAAAGACTAATCAAAAAAACAAAGTTAGTATAAATAATGTAAATTACTTTGAAGTTTTACCTAATGAATTAAAGAAATTGGGACGATTAAAGATTCAAAGCTCTTCTTCCTCATATACTGTAAAAAAAAGTACTTCTCCTATAGATAATACATCAAAAAGAGAGGACAATCTTGAAAAATTAATGAAAAATATTAAAAGATTAGCTCCTATTCTTCTATCTTTGTTTTAGTAAGTTAAGAACATTTTTCTGCAAGAACCTTATCTGCATTTAGAGCCATATCAAGCTACTCTTCAGTTTTTATAAGTCACTTTTCAAGCTCTTTACACTTTTTTTTAAATCATTCTCACTAGTTAGACTAGAGAAAATTTGGGCTGAATCATTTAAAGAGGATTTTTGAGAGACTACCTTCTGCTTCTCTTTTGACAGATTTTTAGCTACTGAAACTTTGTTATATATTGGAATAATATAGATCTTCCTATGTAATTTTATACAAAACTGGTTTTTATTTGGCTCGAGGATGCCTTGAAGCTTTCGAATATTTGACATACCTAAAAATAGCATTAGTTTAGATTCGCTATTATTAATATGAACAAAATTTTTAATAATTGTGACAGTCTTGTTTTCTTTATCTTTTAGAGTAACTAGCACATCCATGTACTATCCTAATGAATTGGTAATATGTTTGGAATTTTCCTTTAGCAAAATCAGATGGCTCATCAATCTTCCATCCAAGTACATGAATTGCTAAATCATTTATTGCACTGAATTTACTTCCGGTATCTAAGAAAGAATTAGGAATTGTTAGATCATTTATATTACAATGCAAGTAATTTAAAGATGAAAACCACTCATCTGATTTTTTGGCCTCCTTCTCCAGAGCCTTTTGGGGCAAGCACATTTTTCAGATCGGTAGTAAAAACTTAGACAATAGCTGATCATATGTTTTAAGCTAGTTATTTTTTATTGGTACCTGTTTTTTTTTACAAATAAGTCATATACGGTCTATCTATTATTTTCTTTATTATAACTATCTTCCTCATTATCTGAACCTAGGGGTGTGTTTTGGAAATTTATAGATGTAAGAGGCTTAAAATAAGCAGACCAATTGAAATTAGATCTTGCTATCTGTCTATTGAGACAATTACCTTTGCTATGATCTGTTTTTTCACAAATATTATATTTATATATATTTAGTTTTTGAAATTAATTGGTTAATTGATTTACTGCATCATAAGTTTCATTTATCCCCTCCTTTACTCTATCAATTCTAGCAGAGACATTGCTTAGCTATAGGTGAGATCTTTGAAAAGGATTTATAGAATAATTAATCTCTAAATCTTCTGTACTAAATATATCTAAATTATTTAAGAATTGTGATAAGCGATAATTTCTCATACCTTTTTCTGTTTGTAATGAAGATGGTAAACCTCTTGGCTGTCTAACTGGTTCAACAGTTTGAGGAGCAAATACTTGCGTTTGCTTAGCTATTTGAGATTCTAATTCTGTAACTTTCTTTACTAATATCTGGTTTTCAGTTTTTTGTTACACTAGTGCATTCTGAATTGCTTTTTGTATATTTTCTAAAGAAATTGTATATCCTTGCTGTTGAGGAGCTGGGGTAACTAGTGGTAAAAAATAGAATACTGGATTTATACTAGGTAAAGCTTGCACTTGATTGGCAATTTGACTTGAATCTTTTCATTCAAATTTTGCCCATACTCTAGCCACATATTTTTTAGTTCAGTAAAAAATGTATTAATACCTGCAGGATTAACAATTCTTATCCAAGTATAAAAATCGTCTATTAAATGACTTTTAAGAAATCTCAAAACTTGTATATCATTGTCTGCTACTTCTAATAATAGTGGTTGAATTCTTATTAGAAGTATCATAGGGCTAATATCTTTCTTGAGTCAATCTTTAAATAGCTGATTGTTGATTTCCAACAGTCTCTTGCTAATATTTTGCTCTCATCCAAGGCTATAATATATCTGGAGAATTTATAGCTGGATTTCCTACTATAAGATTATTATTTGCTAGTACTGAAACATATTTTTCACCCATCATAGATTTTAAAATATTACACTTAACTATATTGTCAAAATCTCCTGCATTCATCAGCAAAAATATATATGCGTAAACTTTCGTAAGTTTTTACGGTGCGTAAGAAAATCGTAAACCTACGTAAAA